GAGAAATAATGAAGACAGGTAGAGGCAGGAGAGTTTTGTTTTATTGTAGACGAAGAGATTTATGTTGGCTGTTAATAATAATGGACATTTTTTTTCTTTTATTTCTCTAAATGAAAGGAGTTTCATAGCCTTTGCTCAACTTTGCCTGTTGTTGCTGGGTGTTTTCAACTCAAGTTTTTCACACTGTGTTTCTCTTTCTATGGTAGGATAATTTTTCCATCTAATGCAAGGAGGGGTTTATACCAGGAGAGGGGTGAAAATTGTTGAATTAATTTATCATCTTGTTCATGAGCACCTAGTGCAATGTAAGAAGCGAAAGGATGTAGTTGGTAAGCATGCATTTAAAAATACTTTGAGCTGTCTAAGCATAAATGCCTTCCTTCCACCTCCTCCTTCACCAAATACATTCCCATTAATCCTGGCTGCACATACATGTGGCTAACAGGTCTATGACAAAGGTGGCTCTGTAAGGTTTTAGGGAAAGGATGGTATTTTCAATAAGTAGCACTTGGCCAAATGACTACTGTTATATAAGATCTATCAATCATCTATCTAATCTATAAATCATCTATCTAATCTATCTATCATCCATCTATATCTATCTTAACCACTACATCTTATTTAAAAACTGACTCCAAATAAATTACAGATAAAAGTATGAAAGGGAAATTTTTAAAAAAGAGAACAACATTGTCATGATCTTGGATAGGGAAAGGACTTTTTGTTGGAGGTTGAACTTAGAGCCTCCTTCGTGCTAAGCACATCCTCTACCACTGAGCTACAGCCCCACCCGGAAAGAGTTTTAAAACCAGAATAAAAAAGTGCTCATTGTAATGGAAATAATTGATTAGGACTATTTTAAAATGATAGGCTTCCATTCCTCAGAAAACACCCCAAAGTATCCAACAAATATACTTTTATCCTGAATATATAAAGAATTGTGTGGGTCAACTAGAAAAAAAAATACAAGGCAATCTGATGGAAAACAGGCAAAAAATTTTGAATAGACAATATCTTGCAGAAGACAAAGTCAGAGAATATGGGCTGAGGGTTGTGGCTCAGTGGTAAAGCACTTGCCAAGCATATACAAGGCCCGGGTTCAATCCTTAGCACTACAAAACATAAAAAACAAATAATTAACAGACATTTGAGAAGGTGGTCAACATCACTAGCCAGGAATGAAATGTAAATTTAAAAGACTATGTCCAAACTAAAATCTAATGGCTGGGCCAGGGATTTAGCTCAGCAGTGGCACCACGCTAAGCACAAGGTCCTGAATTTGATCCCCAGTACCAAAAAAAAAAAAATCTACTGGTTAAAGAAGATAGAAAATATCAATATCAGGCAGGATGTGAACCAGCTATACTCTCACACCCTGATAGGCATAACTTTGGTAGCACTGGCTCATGCTGACTGTCAGCAGTTCCACCCTTAGTTACATATTCAACAGAAACATATGTATATATTCACTAAATGATTTTGAAATAATATTGTCAACAACACTATTCAGAATAGTTCCAAACTAGAAACAACCTAAATGTCCAGCAGTGTAAGCACTGGTAGAAGCATAAACTCTGGTCTGTTTAGACACATAGTGGGAAACAGCACTGAGAATAAAATATCTACAATAACACAGAACAACATGGATGAATCTAACATTCATGATGGTACATCAAAGAAGCTGGATTTAAGAGCACTTCCTAATTGTATAATTCTATTTATATAAAGTATAGCAAACACGTTAGATGTTAGGAGACTGATTCCTTTCTCTTGGGAACGGGTAGTTCGTAGAAAAGCATGAAAAGGAGACTTCTGCTTCTTCATCTGGGTGCTAGTAACGTATGAGTGTTCAGCTTGTACGTATGTATGTGAATTTTCTCTATCTAATTGATAGATTAATAAAATATAAAACAAAACATACAATAGGAATGTAGTTAGCTTTCCTTCACAATGACAAAATTCCTCAGGTAATAAATTTTGAGGAAAGAAAGGTTAATTTGGGGCATACAGTTTCAGAAGTTTCAGTCCATGATTGCTTGGCAATGTTACCTTTGGGTGTGTGGCAAGGCAGCATATCATGGTAAGAGGGTATGGAAGTGGGAAGCTGCTCAACTTACAGCAGTCAGGAAGGGGGGGTGCAATATTATGTTCTTCAAAGACATGAGCCAATGACCTCCCACTAGGACCTATTTCTAAAAGTCCCACCACTTCCCAGTAGCTCCACAGATTAGGGACCAAGCCTTCATTACACAGGTCTTTGGAGACAATTCAGATTGAGACTACATCAAATGCTATCCCATAACTTGGAAGATTCCAGCTAGAACATAAATGTAGTCATGCATTGAATAGATATATTGTTCAATGACAAAGCACATATACAATGATGATCCTGTAAGATTTTATCACCCTTGACATCAAATCCAATGTAGTTTTGCAAACACATTCTCTATGATGTTAACACAGTGACAAAATTGCCTAACAAGGTCCTCCTATAAACATAGCCCTGTATAGATATTCTATAACAACGCATTTCTAACATGCTATGCAAGCATTTCTCAAAATGTGTCCTCACTGTTTATGATATGTGGCATAGAGATTTGCTATCTAATAGATGAGTTCTTGAAAATGATATAGTTAATCAAATTTGGGTAATTTATTTTAAGTGCTCAAATGGAAGCAGCTCTTTAAAGGAAGCTTCAGGCAAATCCTTTGATGAAGTGAATAATTATCATTGATGGCATTTCAGAGTTCAAATGTTCTTGAAGTGAGCCTCTTCTAAAACCTTCTTTCACATTTTGCTCTCCAATCAATACATGCAAAATAAAATAAATTAAATTCTGTTCACTTGGGAGCCTAACCATTTTCAGACCTTTGAAGATTTCTCAATCACAATTTCACTTTGCAACTTCTTTTCTGCCTCCATCAAGAAATGGTGCCCAAAAATGTTCTTTTTGAACCTCATAAACTATAAAAGCACTTCAAGACAGAAATTAAAATGCAAGCTTTATCAATATTTTCATGATTTATACTATAAAATACTATAAAAATGTGAGATACTATAAAAACGTGAGAACATGGCAATTAATTTAAAAGACAAGAGATTTTCTAGTATCAAGTCAAAGGACATATAAATAACTAGTGCTTTCTTGTGATAAAATATTTTGCACTTTTCTCACATATACAAAAACAAAGGATATAGTATAATGAATCCTCATGTACATGTCATATAGGTGACCACCTTGGCTGATCATATTTCATCCATACCTCACATACTTCCTCTGTCCCCTTACCAAGTGATTTTAAGCAAATCCTAGATGTCCTCATCTGTAAAGACTTTGATGTATACACACATATACAAAAAATACACACATACACACACATACATACACATGTGTCCTTTTGATAAAGATTTCAAAAACTTGAACTGTTATTGTTACTAAAATAAATGGACAATAATTCTTTTAAATTATCAAATAGCAAGTCAGTTCTATAATTTTCCTCATTATTTTGTGATTTTTCTGGTTTTTTATTCAAAATACAACAAAATTCCACAGATTGCATTTGATTCCTGTATCTCTTAAGTCTCTCTGCCTTTCTCCCCCATGCCCACCTCCTTTTTTCTATTTTGGAGATCCTACCCAAGGCCTCACATATGCTAGGCCAGTACTCTACCACTGAGCTACATCCCCAGTCCTCTAGTCTGTTTTGGTCTGTATATTCCTCATCCCTTCCATAAATTCTCCCAACGTTATTTATAGAAAATTTAACAAGTTGATTTTTGTACTATAATTCTATTAGGACTCATATTTACTGTTATTCAAATATAGTTTCTTCATAAAAGTGAAAAAAAATAATATTTTTATTAAGTTCAGTGGCCCACCAGAAGTCCACTCTGAAATGCAATTATACTGCTACCCTAACCCCATTAATGGCACTCTCAGCAAATGTTTATGGAGTACTTAATATGTTCCATACTGTGCTTATCATGTTACATGCATCTATTTCCACAGTCCTCGTAACACTTCCCTAAGTTAGCTACTAAGGCAGGATGATGTGAGAAACTTCAGCCCTGTCTTTTTTATCGAAAGATATAACAGGAGTGCCTCCACCTTAGACTGTAGTCCACCCTAGGCAGCCCCACCCCTCACACAGAAATTATGGGAAACACCTAAATTTTGGGAACATAGCTTTGGACCACAGATAGCTTATTCATATCCAAGGACCTTCTGTTCTCCCCAACCTCTCCCCTTCTGCTCCTCCTCCCCTTTAGCAATCCTTCAGGCTCTCCCTTCAGGCTGCTTCAACTAGCCAATCTCGATGGATGCTTGTAACCATTGGATTTAGCCAATGAATTTAAAGGATAGGTGCTTCCTATGCATTAGGGCTTAAAAATTCCTCTCCTCTGCTGCTGGGCACACGCTGCCTTGTGTCCGAGTTCACTCATGCCCATCTGCAGAAGTAAATTTTATACTCTGCTTTGTCCAGTCCTCTTGTTTGCTGTCTGAGTATATTATTTCTGAAGCTGACAATGTGAGTCTGAGGCTTATTTCTAACAACGGTCTAATTATCACAGCAAGGCAAACAAATGCAGATGAAGATGTGGAGGAGGATGGATGTGTGCACTTACTGCTGATCAGGACCTAAAGTGGTGCAACCACTTTAGCAGTACCTGGTAAAGATTGTAGAATTTGTCTGGATACACCCTGATATAAGTTACTTAAATAACAAAGTGCTGAAGGTTTTTTGTTTTGTTTATCAGAAAGTGACCCCAGAATCCACTCAAGGGTAATTTGAAACTGGCTTTTCAAGAATGAGCATGAGCAGAAACCAGCTTGTGTGGGCAATGACCCTTTCACATCACAAACTCAAAATACCCACACATAGTTTGCCAATCCCTTCCAGGAGAAGCTTGCCAGGTGTGCAGGGCCTGATGACCACCCACGCCTGGGCAGAAGAGCCCGGAAGAGCATCCCCTCCTCACCAGTCAGTCAATACCTAGTCCCCTCTCACTTTTTCCAAGTGTGCCACCAGCGGATGGGGAGGCAGATTTGAGCTTTCAGTTCCTGGTCTCCTTGCCTGTTGATCATAAATAAAACTTTTTGCAAAAACTACTTCCATAGTACTCATTTCAGGAAGTAAAGCTTTGCTTGGTATCAGGTCACCTGATGAATTATTTATACTATTTCTCTCCTGCGGTAGTCATCAAGTTTCCCCCTAAAAGGAGAGAAGCTGGACAGAACTTGCTTATCTGGGGAGCACAGGATTCATTTCTAGCTCAGTAATAAGTATATGCAAAATTTCTACCCTTGCAAAGATTTATTCTAGTAAACAAAGCTCCTACTGGGTTGAATCAATTTATAAAAAATGTTTTTTCCCCCACACCACTGGGGATTGAACCCAGGTCCTTTGCATTGAGCTACACCCCAGCCCTTTATTATTACTGAGACAAGTTCTAGCTAAATTATCTAGGCTAAACCTAAACTTGTGATCCTCCTGCTTTTGCTTCCCAGATTGCTTGGATTAGGTTTGTTTGCTTTTTTCATTGTGTAATATATGCCCACTATAAATAATATTTTTACCGTAAATAATTTTTAAATATAGAAAAACTGAAAGGTAGAGTCACCATAATCACATTACTCAGAGTAGACTCATAAATATTTGTTATGTAATATTTTCTTTGTAGTTGGGAATAAAAGTGTATAATGATTTAATTTGAAATATGTATAACCTAAAGTTTTTAGACATCTGTTTAAAATGCATAAGGTAATATAAGGTTGTTCTGTGTTGTATTTAATTTCTAATAATCTTGGTAATAAAGGAGTATAGCTAAACAAAATAAAAATTGTAAAGAACAGAGACTAGTCTCAATCATTTCATAATTTGAAAGTCAGTATACATCTTGGCTGAAAATATCCATAAACTTACTATTTAATCTAAATATTTTCTTCTTTACAGCATGTATTTTCTCTAGAAATAATCAATTCTTATCTATAGAATGGATATGCCGAAGTCATCATAGTTTTGTTTTGACATTAAATTCTATTAAAAATGTGGCAGTCCTAGCCTGACTGAATGTTCTGAAGATTAATAATGATATTCACACATCAGTCTGATTGACTGTACCTTGAATTCAGAGCTGTTTGATGCATCTTTAGGCAGATTATTTTTGTAGCAATTGGAGATGTAAAAGCAAGAGAAAGGCAGTAGTTTCCACTTCACTGAAAAGAAAATACATATTTATTTTAAGAGTAGCGCATTTTAAACTTTTCATTACTCTATTTAGATGGCAAACTGTTAATAACAGGAAGCAAAATACTATCCAAAGCATACTCTACAGGGTTACCATGAACTGTGCCTGACTTGCATTTCTATAGCCTTTCAGGCAGACACCTCAATTTGGCTCAGTCATTTCTTTTTCTAAATTCATTTGATATCTTTTAGGATACAAATTTCAAACAGGAAAACTAAAAAGATCTTCCTTGTTAGGAATTGGCAAGACCATGCTATGTCAACTGTTCAGCTAATCCATCCGAACAATAAAAGTTAATGTTTTGAAATGTTATAATAATGCAATAAAGCCTATAAAATATATTACTTTATATATTATTCATTTTGTTGCAAATTCAAGTGCGTGGGGATATTATTTACCACATTCCTTGGTTCTATACCCCCAAAACTATATCTCTGAGCCAAATTTGTGGAACTTGGAAAGTCACAAAAGAAAATAAAAGTTCAAATTGCTCTCTTACTATTTAAATTATCAAATTATAGTAGCAGTCCTAGCCAGAGACCCCCCCTCCCAGAAAAAGGAGAGAAGCAAAATTATTATTGCTTGCCAATGATATGGTTGTTTATTTCCAAAGGCCAAGAGATTTTACTGAGTCATTAGAACTAGTGAGGGAACTCAGTGAGGAATTTGAATAAAAGTTCAACATTCAAAAAGTAAAGCTTTTCCTATAGGTCACATAACCAACTGGAAAATACAACATAAAGGTTTCATCAACAACAAAGAAAACATACAAAAAAATCTAAGAAATTCAACAAAAGAGATATACAAGGTATATAATAAAACAAAGTATTATAAAATATTGAATAATATTTTATTATTATTATTATGGTAAATAGATATACCATTTTTCAGATTGAAAAACCTATATTTTACAAAGTTGTCAACTATATACAAATCAGGCAATTCCCGTTAAAAATCTGGAAAGATTTTTGTGGAAATTCTCAAGCTGATTCTAAAATGGGTCTGCATCCTCTGAAACTAGAAGAGTATCCCACAAATAGGAATAAGATAAATATGTGTTGATTAAATAAATTAGTGAATGACCTGCTTAAAAAACCACCTATCAGGCAATGACTCACACTTCCAGATTCTTCCTCTGAGCTCCAGAGCTGTAAGTCGGGCCTAATAACTTCTTCACTTGATTAGCAAGAAAACAATTCAAATTCCTTATGTTCAGCACAAAACCATTAGGCCTCTCTTAAGCTCCATCTTCCAACAGTCACCAAGTTGAGCAAACTGAAACCAGGGAGTTATCAATAACCACCCATTGTCCAGTGTGATGGTTTAAGTCATTACAACTCCTGTTGGGTTCATCTGAATAGTCTTTGACTCCATCCATGCCTTTCTTCTGTACTGACACAAACACCTGGCATCGTTTTCTCCTTATTCTAGTGAACAACTTCATTACTATGCTGCCATTCCTAAATTCATTACTTCTTTCCCTGCTGTTCTCCTATGTCAACTTAAAACAATGTTAAGATTTTCATTGCTCTTAAACAGCATTTATCTGCACTATATAATCTTCAGCCTTAATGATCTAAGTAATTCCTAAAAAATGTTCTCTCTTGCCACAGGACCTTTGAATATGTCATTTGTGGCTAGAATTGTCTATTTCTCCCTTATTCTGATTAACTCCAATCATCCTTAAGATCTCATTTCATTCTTATTTTCCTTAGATAAGATATCCATGATTCCTATTATATGCTTTTACAAAAAGTGTATTGTCTCTTCATGCCTCAGTTGCAAATTTATTTTTATTTGGGTGATTTAGGCTTTAAGCTCAATCAGAACAGGGACCAGGTATGCTAGTACTTATATGATATTCCCAGCTATGGTGCTCAGTGCTGCATGAATTAATAAAGGAATGAAGCTGGACAGAAAAAATAATGCACAGTGACCTGATAGGTCAGCAAGCAGTGGGTTTCCAGTGAAAGAAACTAAATCTGTTCTAAGCAAACAAGAGTTACATGTCAAAGCACCAACTGCAAATGCTCTATATCTAATTTAATATTTTCTGAATGTTTCCACAATATTTTACACATCAGTGCATTCATTACAATGAAAATGAAACAAGACATGATTCAGATATGAAAAAATGTAAGAAATATGATAATCTGTGAGGATAATCAGGAATTTATGACAGAAAATGGTAGAAAATGATGAAGATATTTCCTATTATGCTTAGTAAAGAGCAAAGAAGAATATTTAAACAAGAACTTGAGTTCATCTGTGTTTTAAAGACCTTGGTGTCATATGCTGTATATATTAAAATAAAATTTTCATTATACTTTATCAACAAGCAAGATTAGCCTAATTTAATAAAATGTTCCTGTACAAAAAAATTCCTAAGTAAAATAAGTCAGAATGGCTGATCATTTCTCTTGAGAATTGACAGAAATTCCTGTTTAAATTTTAAAACTCTCTTAATTTTTAGTAAACCAAGAATCTCCAAGTTCTTTATAGAAGCATAGATTTAGTTATTTCATGTATACTTATGAAAATGTGAATAAAAAGGAGATGCAAGATAATAGTTTTTGATAATATTTTAAACATCACTGAGAAAAAAATGTTAATAATTTGTTGAAAAGAACTCAATCCATTTTCTGAAATCCAGGGAATATTAAATTCCTTTGTATGAAATCACCTACTCAATATTCATAGATATCTCAGATGCACGAATAAAAAGTCAGGTTTAACACATCAGTCTTTATGTCTCATAGACCAAAACCATCAGACAGATTTAATAAAAATACCTTCTTGTGCAGTTCCTCACATACCTTGAGAGAATAAAATCATGCCCAGTTAAGTTACTAAACCTAAAAGAAAACTTCAAAATTAAGCTGATGATTGAATATCTTTATAACTAATTATCTTTGTAATTAATTCATTTAACTTATAAATTTGTAGTTTTACCTAATCTCACTTAAATTTTATTTATTTATTTATTTATTATTTATGGTACCAGGGATCAAACTCAGGGCCTTGGGCTTGTGAGGTATGTGTCAGTTAAATTTTTAAAAGCTCTTATTTTAAAATATATAAAAATAAAATGGAACTGTCAGCCTGTTGGAACTCACTGGAAGATTTTGTCCAGCTCCCATTCATTGAGTGCTAATTATAACTAGGATCTATAGTAAGCTTTTAATTCATTCTTTCATTTATTCTTCAGAACAACTACATGCTATTAGAAAGTTCATAAAAGTAAAAGTTTACTCAAGAACTTAAACCAAATACTATGTTCAAAACATCAGAACTTTCAAATATCTAAACCACACTTCTTTTGATCTATATAAATTATATAGATGAACTTAAACTCCTCAATCTGTAAAAATGTATGAAATACACTACCAAGTTTAATGATTTTTTGTGGAGAAAAAAATAAATAATGTATACTTTGATTTTAAGACACATCCCAATTTTAGAAAATTTAAAGGTGAACAAAAGCAACCTCATGAATCTTAAAAACATGTATGATCTTTAAAATTGTTTTAAATGTTTTACTTAAAGGTTTTTAACATGAAGAAGATACACAAATACAGATTACAATTGATAACCAAGGCAGTGTTCCACATGACAAAAATTAAAATTAAAAAAATGCATAAAGTAACCTAGACTGAACACAGTACTTGAAATTTAATCCAGGTTATATATGCATAAAATGATTAGACCACAGGATTGTGCAAAATAAATTATTTCCTGGAACACCAGAATGCCAACCATTCTGACTGTAAACTGCCTTATTTCCCTGTTGAGTATTTTGAGAACTTCTGTATGACATGAAAAGAATGGGCATGACACTTACAGACTGCAAAAATAGAGAGCACAGTTAAAACCCTATTTGTAATACAATTCTGTATAAAATATACACAGTCAATCTTATTACTTAAAAATTTTAAAAACAAAAGCCACCCTGAATAATGGTTAAAACCTCATCAAAGAAAAGTGCTCATCATCTGTATATCATTGGCAGAAAACTATTTTGTTGGGGAGAACAAGGGAGACATCTAATGAAGTCATTCATTTAAAATGTGTTCAAAAATATTCATAAGGTTGTAAATTTCTGCTTATACCATCTTAAAATATTATGCCATGAACACACTTTCTACTATTAACTGGAGGACAAAAGAATAACTTGAAGTGTTTCTCAAAATGAGGTGCAAAGGCCCAAAAGAATTTTAATATGGGCTCAGGGATAAACATGATGAACAAATGCCCTGCATTATTATTCCACGCTCTGAAATGAACTATGAGAAGAAGCAACATTTAAAAGCAAGCTCATAAATGTATTTCTGACAGGTCAGAATTCTCCACAGGTTTACATTGTGAATACTGCTGTTTGCTTTAAAACAAGTTCCAGGCATTAAGATAAATATATGTACCTTGGAAATGGACATGTGACCATCTATAAACATTTTCTGTTGATGTTTTCATTATTTTTAAACTTAGTTATTTGAAGAAGAGGCAGTGTATGACTACAAACTTTGGAAAAGTTACATTTCTAATGAAACAGGGCATCTAAAAAAATTAAAAGATAATTTATTATGCGCTTACAAGTTTTAAACCATTCTAAATTTTTTTTTTAAATATACAAAGCTTTTATTTTATTTGGAACCTACCACACATGCGAACAATAGTGTTTGCTGACAAACACTGTATTAATGAATTGGAGTTTCTTAGTTTCTTCCTTTAGGGTTCCTGTTAGCCTTCTTTTTTTTTTTTTTTCAGCTTTAATTGAGTTTATTGGTACATTTTAGGGATACAGTACAGTTACATTCATTGTTGGGATCATGTACAGACCATTCTAAATTTAAAACTAAACAGCTTATCTAAAATTAAATTTTGCTAATTTTGTAGCTTTGTAACTTATTTAGATTATAATTACTTTTCAAGTCTTTTGTATAAAAAAGTATCAAAAGAGAGGGATGTTATATCCAGAACTCTTTAAATAATAAATCGCTAAGTACTAATTTTAATAAAAATAGTTGGAAGAACTCTGCCCCTTAAATGACTTCTATGTATTTCATGTATTATTCTATTAAACTTTTTAAAACTTAACTAGAACTATAATATATGTGTTTTCTACTAATTTATTCAAAATTGTTTTTATTTTTTGGATTTCCCTGAAGACTACATAAACTAGGCCTCTAAAGTACAGGTAATATGGTTTGAAGAGAAAATAGAACAGTGAAGACATTCTAAAAGACAAATTGTGTCTTGTTATTGTAAATAACAACAATAAGTATTAGGTCTCTGTCTCCACTCAATAATGAAATGTGTTTACAAGGTTGGTTAACTAGCAATTGCCTCATTTGTATCTAAGTCAAATGATAAAAAGCAATGCTGTCAACGAAAATGTCCATATTCTCTACTATAGACTATAAGAATCAAGTATAATCTAAATATAACAGCAAAAAAAGGAGTTAAAATTAGCATCTAGGCAATTATGAAATGGTTAATTGACTCCAGACTGGTAACAAGGTTTCCATGCATTAAATAGCAATAAATGGAAAGCATAGTTGAAAAATGAGACTCAGACCCATTCTTCATGCATTGAAAGACGATTGATATATTCAAAACCTGCAAATTCATATCCATCAATCTTCCTCACAGTGTCATTATCATCTAGGGTGAGCCAGACAAGTTCATTAGTAAACTGAGGATCAAAGTTGTCCAAACCGAATCCCCACAGAAATATTTGGTTTTAAAGGGAGGCACCACCTGCTTTGGCTCCATCGTGTACCAGTCAACATTTTGAAAGAATGGATGCTTCCAAACATCAGCAAATCCCATTTGGCGATGACAACCCAATCGTTCCTTTGAGTCCTTGTTCAGAAAACTCTTCAGGACACTTGCAGCTTTTACTGATAGACAATGAGGTATGTGATTTTTTTTTTCCAAAATAACTTGCAAGAGATTATTGTTTGAGTTTTGGTCAGGATTATCAGAGCTCTCAACAAAATGAAATGGAGACTCTCTGACCATCATCTCATACATCAGTACCCCAAGAGTCCACCAGTCCACACCAAAACCATAATCTTCTCCTCTTATAATTTCTGGAGCCAGGTAATTAGGAGTGCCACAGAAAGTGCTGGTTGTATCTTCTGGCTGTAAGCCTTCCTCACACACTCAAAAATCAGTGAGTTTAATGTACCTCTCTGAGTCCAGTGATAAGTTGTCCAATTTCACATTTCTATAAAGTACCCCTTGCTCATGAAGATAGTTGAATGCTAGACTGATTTCTGCAGAGTAAAACCAGGTATGTTCTTCAGGAAAGTATTCTTTGTTGCTGCATATGAAATATTAGATCTCCCCCATTTACATCATCTAGAACAAAGAACAGCCTGCTTTCTGTCTGAAAGCAAGAATGCATTCCAACAAGAGATACCTGCTCCAAAACATGCTTTTCTGTCTGTGTACCATCAGTGTTGACAACCTCTTTTCTCACTACTTTCGTTGCATAAATACGATCTGATTTTTTTAATTGAGCCAACAGTACTTTTCCATAACTTCCTCTCCCTATCACACAGAGCAAAACAAAATCCTGAATGCCTAAGCTAGACGAAGTTTTGCCCCTTGCCCTGTTCACTGCCTCATTCTCTTCATCAACCTTATGAGTTGAAAGATTATGTGGTATCATTGCCTGTGCAGGGTTTGAAGCCATGGATGGTTGACCCACTTGCATCATGGGCTCCGATGGAAAAGAATGCTGCCCACATTCAGTTGTGATAAGTTTGTGGCACTTCTTATGAACCCAGAGTTTACAGTTGATACACTTATGTACCTGGCATCCTGATCTCCCTATACGGTCTGTGCAGACAGCGCAGCGAGCTCCCCTGATGAAGCATTTGGCTTGAAAAGCATAGCCATTCGTATAATACAGCCTTCTCCAGAGGCCTCCTACTCTCTGGTGGATGGATTTATCTTCTCCTGGGCAAGTTATTATAGGATGTTCTGATATGTAAGGTGATGCATGAATTAAGAGCTCAGAATTCTTCTTTAGCTCAGAAAGCCTAAATGCTTCTAACTCCAACTGAGGTGACACAGGATATGGTTCTCTTTCCTCATCTACCCAATCTGTGGTGAAAAGCTGTTTATAGTCAAAACACCACACAGCTTGATCTTCATCACAAAGGCGCTCAAAGGAGTTGGAATTCTCAAAAGACATTGTCATGATATATCTTCCCCAAATCAGAGCTGATCTGGTAGTGGTATGAGTGGTAGAGGTGCCTGGGAAGAAGGGACCACAGATGGGTTGGCTGCCTAGGAAAATGAACGGGAAGGGCTTGGTGAATGAGTGTGGCCTGACTGACTGCAGGGACCACACTGGGTGGAATTCCTCAAGGCTCTGTGTGAAGTTATTTCCAGTTGCGGCAGCCAGGCCTGGGTGGATGTACACCAGGCTTTTCAGTGTCTCTCAGGGGCCGGTGGCTGTGTCTTTGGTCTCCCAACCTGGACTTCTTTGACTTTCTAGGGTTTTTGTGCTCACCTCTGGGGAGACCTGTCCAGAGCTACTGGATGTTTCTGGGCCTTGTGAAACTTGCCCTGGGCTCTTTCCAGTTTCGGTGCCATTGGTATTGGGGCTTAGGGAGACTTCACAGGAATACCTGGATTTTGGTAGGACACTGATGGCTACTCACGGGGAGACCTTCTCTGGGGTGTCTGTGATAGTCGCGTGGCTGCCGCATTGTGGTTTGCGGTGTCTGGATGGAGTCAGCCATCTTCTCAATCTTTCACAGATACTTTCTCTGCCTGGGGTCCTGAGGCTGTGACCTTGGAAGTAGAGAAGCAACTCAGTGTGTTTGCTGTTGACTATCTCCAGCCAAGTGAGCTCAGGAGACGGCTGATGCTAGATTGTGATGCCTGTTCACAAAAGTTCCAAGATCTGTTTGGACACGTTACCTTGGAACTGAGGTCATGTCTTGGGGTTCTGCAGTTGAAGTCCACAAGTGATTGAAAACCCTGTGGCCCATTTTTTCTTCATACTAAATAAATCAATGACCACTTATTTTATCATTGTTGTCTTTAGTATCTATGAATTTTTTTATCTGTTTATCATCTATCTGTTAGTTTTTCACCTTTGTATTATTGGGGCTTGTACCTTGCATCTCCACAGTGAACTATGGGTATATCCTCAAACATTATTTTTTTAGACACACAATAAGGATCTCCCAAAGTCACCAAATTAGTCAGGTTGAACTCCACCTTGTGACCTTCTTGCCTCCACCACCCAGAGTGCTGGGATTACAGTCACAGACCATCCTGCCTGATTCAGTGTGCTATTTAGGACAGCAATGCTAAGAAAAATTTTGTGACATTAGGCATTGGTGACATCTTCACTTTTAGAGCAACATGGGTGCATTGACACTTTGCACAGGGTGAGCAGAATGCTGAGGGTCTTTTTCTATATAAAGGAGGAATTTTCTGTGAAAGTGCAGTGGTGGGGATTTATACTTAGCCACGAAGCTTTAGAATGTCTTTCTTAGAATCATTTCCATTTAACTAGGTAGTACTGAGACTTTCTAGAAATTTCCACAATAATTTTCCTTAAGAGAAATGAATGTTTGTTTCAAAGTGTCACTTGAGGATAGAGGGTTCAGAGCAGACTGGAGCTTTAAGGCACACACAAATGAGTAATTAATAATTCATAGCTCATGAACTAAATACCAAAGTGCAGTATTCAGTATAGTAGCACTATGTGTTTCCCTGAAAATAAGACCTAGCTGGAATACTACCTGGAACTAGCCCCAGCTGATCATTACTGTGGTGATGGCTAGCATCATAAAGAAAATTATACCTCGCTCTTCTCTTGCTCCATGGCTAGTCTGTAATGACAAGGATAGGCTGATTGGAGCTGTCTCTCTTTCTGATTTACGTCTTACTTTTGGGAAAATACAGTAGAGTGAGGCAGGAGAGCATGTTGTGACCACACGGCGAACAGTCTTTGTAAACTCTAGAAACCGTCACCTCAGTGGTGATGATGAACATGTATATAGCATCCGAAACTTTCTTGGTGGCCACTTGTAGTTGCTCCTTGCCCTGCTATTCCAATCAGTCCATGTACCTTGGGTCCCAGTTTGCATTTTCGAGGAAGCTACAACCATTCATTTTATAGTTTGTTTTTGTTTGTTTGTTTATTTGGTTTTTGATGAGCTTATGCAATCAGTATAACCACGTTGATCAGAGAGAATTGATCCAAAGAGTTGCTCCACCCCTCAACGTAAGAAACCTGACCTGTGCAGGAGGAGCAGCATCTCCCCCACATGAGAATCATTCTGTGAGGGAGTCATGTGCCCCCAAAAGATTATAAATGGGCACTAGAGGCAAAGACTAAGCAATGGACCAGAGTCTGGCTGAAGACCACTTGGGATGAGAAAGGAAAACCAGAACCCAGGGCTGTGGACATTCATTCCAACAACCGAATTGAACCCCACCTTGTAGTCTTCAACCAGGTGAGAAAACAGGGATCGTGTTCCCCACCCACCGAAAGGAGCAAGACACATTCTTAGCATAAATCATAACCACAGTCTGGGGAGGAATAAACATCCAGGCTTCCAGTGTAAGGAGAGCACCTCAGAACCATAGTCCTTAAAGCTAGGCATAGAAAATCACGTCTGTCTGGATCCCAAAACTGAAGATTGTGGAAAGAAAGCATTCATTCAATAACACAGTAATATTTTCTTTAACTCAATTCTTTTGTTTTTCCTATATTGTATAATTTTTATTTTTTCTTTTTATAAGGGGTTGGGATTTTTCTCACTTTCTTTCTATTCTTTATATTATTTGCCCATTACTTTTCTCTTCCAACTTTTTTCTCCTCCCTTTTCTTTATTTCGGTTCTGGTTATTTGCCTTTTTTCTTTTTCTTGTTTGTTCTTTCCAGTGACTGTTCTCTATCACTATTAACTTTCTTTTACTGTTTAATAGGACCCCCTACCACACTTTATTTCCTCCTTCATACACTATCAATTAATTTTTTCAAATCTTACTTTTTAAAAGTCCCTCTTCTTTTACTAGAACAACTACTAAGCTTTATGAATCTCTAAATAAATAGTTAACTTTACACTATTACTGCTGCATAATACTGTGCTATTTGTAGTAAAAGTAAAGTTGATCCATTTAGTAGATATTTACTGTAGGTCAGTATTAAGATAATATTTTATTTATTTGAGTGCTCATACTATAATTATACATCTCTTTTCTATGAACAAGCCTGTTACTTTATTGGTCATTCAATTTTACAATATTCAGCTTGTATTTAATGCTATAATTGACACTGACTTTAGTATTACACTCAAAGCGTCACGGCTATTGCTATTAATTGGTTTTCTTGTGGAGCCAACATGTAGTTTGCTGAGGAGTCATTAACAATACCGTGCCTCATTCTGAGAAAACTGGAAACTGGGCCAAAATTCTGCAACCTCCTATCTCATGTAAACATAGATAGTGGACCTCCATTGTTTTGCCATTTTTTAAAAGTGGTTCTAGAAGCTCTCTCTTGTGTTTTTAGGAGGGGTGATTAAAAAGTACAGTGAATGTTGCTTCCAAGTGCCATCCAACAGAAAGGCTGGCTTGTAAAAACATGGTATGTCATCTTCCACCTATTCACAGATCTGTCATCCCCAAATTTCTGATTTGTCCCCAAAGTCAAAATGACCCAACAGTCCCATTTGGAGCACCTTCATGATTGTACGGCTGACTGGGAGCAGTAGCTTTTATCAGGAAGAGAGGATCAGGACACGTATTGCCAGCCAGCCACTGTGGCCTGGTGCATCCACTGCTCTGTTCCACTGATGTGTTTCTCCATGGTCACCAGCAATCACCATTTTTTATTTATTAATTTTATTGGTAATTTTAGGTCTACAATATAATGACATTCGTCGTTGGATATTTGTGCCTTTACATAATCCATCTTGGTTCTTATCTTTTCCGCATTCCCTTGACCCCCTTCAAACCCTTACAAAGACTTTGTTTCTTTTTATTCTTTTTCTTTTTTTTTTTTTTTGTGGTACTGGGGATCAAACTCGGAACCTTGCGCTTTGCAAGTCAGGCTGCAGAATCACTGCTAAATCCCCTGCTGTTTCCATTGTTTCATTTTCTTATATTAATTCCATTCCCTTCTTTCATTTCCCCAATCCCTCGCACTTCCTCTTCCCCTTTATACCTTTTCTTCCTATTTCACATTATCTGTTATGCCTTTTGATCCTTATTTACACTTTCAGTTTCTCATACCAGAGAAACTATTTGGCATTTACACGTGTGTTTTATTTATTTCATTAAAAGTATGGCCTCAATGTGCATCCTTTTGTCTGCAGGTTCGGCCCCCTGTTCCCTGTAGGAGAGAGTGCTGCTTGGTACCCCCTCCTCTTCGTTAAAGTCCCTCTCTTCGCTCTCCCGGTAGACTTCCCTGCTCACCTTCCTGGGTCCCCGGGACCCACTTCCCTCCCCCTCCTCCTCACACTGATCTATTCCAGTATCAGGATGCCAAATCTCAGAGAGGCCCTTTCTCTGCTGCTCATCACTCCACCATCTCCCAGGGGAACAACAACAAAAATGTATGATTTTATTATGTCCACAAGTAGTTAACAGTATTCAGTGTTTCCAGAAAACAAAAATATGGTGTTGAGCATTGAGTGACAGAAAACTGTTCTGTTTGAAATAGTAACAAAATAATGAAATGTGAATAATTAGCTCAAGTGTGTAGAAATCATAGATAGTCAAAGTATAGCTCCTTCAGTGTTAACAGCTTTGCAACTTGAATGCCAGTGGCTCTCCGCTCTTAGTGTTTGTGGCCCTCCTTGCTGTTCTCCTGGCAGCCACAGCCAGCAGCTATTGGTATCCCTAGGAAGCTTTTCCAGCAGCTGGATCTAGTGCTGCTATTGGTCTCCGTCACTGTCCAGTAACCACCCACTCTCAGTGTTAGCAGCCCCAACTGCTGGCCACTTTCAGTATTGGTGACCTATAGTGTTACCAGCTCTCAGTGAGTGTAAGCACATCAGCTTGCTCTACTTGAGATAGCTAACATGAATAAGCCAAAATAAGCCATTCAAAAGAGGCTTTATTAAGACATGCTGTGGGATATGGGGGAACATGTACCATATAAGGGTATGGGAAGGACTGCTCACATGGAAAAAAGCAGGCTTATATATGCACTGTGTTGCTGGTTAACCATAGGTTTTCTGTTTAGTTATGGGCAAGGGACAGTGCTTCAAAAACTGGATTGGGGCTGGCTAGAAAGGGGTGGACCTGTGAAGAAAGCTTGCCAGAGCCAAAGCAAATGTCTCAGGATATCTGATGTGGCTGTGGCCATCTGCAAAGTGCTTGGGGAAGCCAGCCATGGCCATCACACATAGAGGAATAAAAAAACTTTAAATAATGCTTACTGGGGAGTGTTGGACCCTTCTTTCCTGTGTCAGAAATACTTATAAACTAATAGAGAACATGTTAAGACTTGCATAATGAAGATATTTAAAGTCTTACTGAAGACCATGAAAAGACCCTGAGTGGGAATTCATGGGCATAGCTCAGAAGAACAGCATGTGTTTAGCATATACAAGGTCCTGGATTCAATTCCCAGCAACTCCCTCAAAAAAATGAATTAAAAGGAATAATTATACATTTTTAGTAGAAAAACCCAACAATCAAAAAATGTTAATTTTAACACAAATTTATAAATTTAAATTCAATTCCAATTATATTTCATTTTAAAATTGTATGGAATTATCTTTAAATATATATGAAAAATACTTACAAGCAGGAAAGGGAGATATTAAACAGCAAAACACTGAAACAGGAGGTTCCTTTACCAGACATAAACAGTT